AGTGGAGTACTACTCAGCAGAAAAAAACAATGGAATCTTGAAATCACAAGAAAATGGATGGAACTGGAAGAATCCATTCTGAGCGAGGTAATCCAATCATAAAAAGACAAACATGATATGTACTCACTCATATGTGGATTTTAGACATAGAGTAAGGGATTACCATCCTACAATCCATACTGCCAGAGAAACTAGTAAAGAAGTAAGACCCTAAAAGAGACAAACTTTGTCCCCTGGAGAAAGGGAAAGGGTCACCATCCCCTGAGCAAATTGAGAACATGGGAAGGGGGGGAGGAAAAAAAAGAAATAAAACTCTTATATTGTTAAAAAAAAATGTAACACAATTGAATATAGTTCTGTCATAGCAAAAGAATTAAATCTTGACATTTGCAACAACATAGACAGAATTGGTGATTGTCATAGTAGGTGGAGTAAGTCACACTCAGAAAGGTAAGTGTTCTGGTAAAATCTCCAGCCCAGCCCTTGGCACCCATTAACCAAAAGAGTCTGGGATGTTTAGGTGGAAGCCCTACTGGCATCCATATATACCCAAAAAGGTTGGTGTATTTGGGATCTCCAGCTTGGGGCCCCATTCCATATTCAGGTCTCACTCCTCCTATTCCAAACCCCACCCCCTCAAAACCCACCAAGAGTCAACTCCTCCCCTGCAGGCGGCTCAAGAGCACGCCTATAGGCTATTTAAGACCTGGTAGCCATATTTGCCATGTGATTCCCCTCCTGCCTTCCTGAGAATCACCCAGGAGTTGCTTTGCTCTGTTCATTAAACCTGAATTTAATAATTCGGTTTGATTGGTTTATTAATCGGTGGTGGTGGTGGATTTCCAATAACCCAGGATAAAGAATTTATCAGTAAGTACTCTCTGATCTCATGCATATATGGAATCTAAAATGTTGATCTTGTTAGAGATCAAGATAGTGATTATCAGAGGCTGGACAGACTACTAGAAAAGGGCAGAACTGAGAGGGGCTGGACCGAGTTACAATTAGATAATAGTAAGAAGTTCCAGTGTGCAATCGCATAGCAAGATGACTCTAGCTGTGCCTAATGTTTCTAAAAGTGAGGGCTTTAAGCACTGTCACCATAAAGAAATGATAAACATTTGAGAATATTTCTAACTTAAATATTACATACTGTGTATATGCATGGAAACAACACAGAGTAGCTCATAAATATGTGAAGCTTTTATGAGTTTATGCATCCTTTTAAAAATAGATTTAACTTTGAAACAGAAATGTACCTTTTTTCAGCAGATATAAAATTCAAAAGAAATAAAAAAAAGGTTGACTTTACTTGGAAAAGAAATAACAAAAGGACATTTCTGGATTTAAGACAGAAGTAACAAAGAGATAAAGAATATGTTTCAATGAAAATTTAATAAAAACTATTGAGCAAAGGCAGAGTAACACAGAATAGAAATGAGATAAAGGAAAGGCCACTGAGAGAGTGGATTGGGTGAAAGTAAACACAGAGGAGTGTTAGGGACATGGCTTTGGTGAAGTGCTTGTTATTAAACACAAGGGCTTGAGTTCAGATCCCAAACATAGAAATAAAAGATGGAATAGTAGAGTACATTGTAACCCCAGAACTGATGAGAGATCCATGCAAATTACTAGTGCTCACTGGCCAGCCAGCCTAGCTAAATAGTTGAGCTTCAAGTTCAGTGAGAGACCCTGTCTCACAAAACAATATGAAGAGTGACTGAGGAAGACCCCAACATTGGCCTCTGGTCTCTACATGCATGTACACATACAATCACAGACACACATGTATATCACATACATACATTTACATCCCTAACCACTATATAAACAAAAAAAGGAAATAAAACACAAAAGTGGTCAAAATAACTATGGCCAAGGTGCTTGAAAAGATAACATATTGAAACTAATGTTTAATACTAAAATCTAAGAAAATATTCCAAAATTTAAAAATGTGAATTTTCATTTATTTTAAAATGTGTTGTATTCAAGGAAAACTAATTTGTAATTAGAATAATTTCTAAGTATTTTACATTTCATTGGTATCCTTAAAAGTATATAAAGTCACATAAGATAATATATCAATGCAACTAACCCTTGATGACTCAGTGTTCCAAAATATTGAAGAATTATTTGGAATAAAGAGCTCAAACTTAGTAGCTCTAAAGTTGAATTTCCCAACTGTCACAAAGGAAATTTCTCCATTGTCGTCTAATTGCCAGTTTAAGATATCATAGTGTCCATGTAGTACATCTCCATTTTCATCCAGAACTATCCATTTTCCATCATGCGTTTTAAATTTAATTCCCTTCATATAGTACATCAGCTGGAAAACAACACAGGAGAAAAAACAAGAGAAGAAAATAATTTGTAAAAATTCAGTTACCTAGAAAATATTTTATAAAGAAAATCATTTCAAATTCATATTTAATTCATGAAATTGTAATGCTTCCTCTGAGTCCTTCTATTTTTATCTACCAGGGCAACCAATAGCCACATATACAAATCAAACTTGAAGCATGGTTGGCCACATGAAAATGTGCTCTAAATGTAAATGTACACCAGGTTACAAAGATTTCACTAAGAATTTTCTGATAAGATCATAAGGTGGAAGCTGCGGTTGTAAACTAATGAAAGTTAGAGTAAGGTGTGGGGGGGGGGGATTGGACTCCAGACCAAAAACAAAAAGAAAGAGAGCCTTCAGAAATTCAGAGAGGAAATGAAAGAATACGTGAAACGTGCAAAGAAAAGAGATGAGCAACACACGAAAAAACAATAAACCAAACACAGGTTCCACCATGAAGGGAGGAAGCTACTTCCAAATGGAAACCAAGAGGTGCCCAGTCCTCCCCTTAGGACCAGGCTGTAGCCTTCATTCCTCCAGCAGACTAGTTAATGGTGGAGAAAAAGCCCATTTTGTCACACTATATGTCTCAGAGACTAGCACCTGAGTACCATATCCAGAGGGGACCTGTTGTTCAAATGGAACCACCACCCTGGGAGCCTAAGAGTAGGGAACAACCACATTATCAAAAAGCCTCAACTTAGCCTATCACAGCTCCTGAGTGAGCAGATCTTAAGGAATCAGTTGTGTAGAGCATGGTAGCTGATGCAGACAAGAATACATAGCAAGAGCCCCAGCAATGGCTAGGAAATACGTAGGGAGGTATAGCCCCAACCTAAGTTAACAAGAGCAGATTTTATCAGGTAAGACTGACCCCGGAGTTTGATAGCTTTCAGGCTGAGGTCAGGGGGTATATCAAACTCTGGAGCCACATATTTGTTCTCTTTGGCTGTAGGACTGAAGTTCCAAGGGTATGTATGATACCCACAGCTGCATTCAGGATTTCTTGAAGGTGTGAACACAGACACTTCACCTGTATCAACCTCAGTACTGCAGTTGCTTCCCACACTCGCTATGCACACAGGACTCACCTTAGTTAAAGCATAAGCCACCCTAGAGAACATAATCCAGGAAGTCTCCCAGGGGCAGGGGAGGGGGCAAGAGCACCTCCCCAGCCCATGGAATGCAAATAAGTATAAACAGCAGAGGCACCTATAAGCAAAGAAGGAATGTTAGCGAGGTAAAGACAGCTCTGATGGGTATAAGACACTTGTCCACTACTGACCACAACAGCATAGCCAGAGGAAAGGAAAAGTCCACAAATTCAAGTGACACTTTTGCCCTATGCATATGGCTAGATGTCTATAAGAAGAAGCTAGATGAACACTGTCTCTCTCTCCTCTCTTTCCTCTCTCCATTCTGTCTCTTGGTTTTTTTATTTACTATACTTTCATCACTTTTGTTACTTTATTGTATTATTTAAATTTTTGTGTTTCTAGTTGTTAGTCCCCTTAATAATGTATTAAATTTGTCTACAAAATTTTTCCTTATTGTTTTCATCTTTTCATTGATGTCTTCTTGTGTATTTATACTTGGTTTTTGCTTGCTTGGTTGGCAGGTTGCTGGTTTTTATCTTTGTTTCTGCTTTTTCCCACCTGCTCTACATTTAATATTTTCACTTTAGCTTACTGTTTTTAGATACTCTTATTTTATTATTTTAATACCCACTCTTACATTAATTTGCTGTTGTTTTTGAAGTTTTTCATTATTGGGTTTTGTTGTTATTTTCTTTTTGGGTTACTTTTTTTTCAAATATTTCCCTTGTTTCTCTTTTTCTCTATATATCTTTCTTTACTCTTTGCTTTCTTTTCTTCTACCTAATCTTATTTCTCCTCTATTTCTTCACTTTCTCTGACTACTTCCTGTATCTCATCCATTTACAATTTCTACACCTGTCCTAAATATTATTTTTAGCTTCTAGAGTATTCCTTAGTAACTTTTCCATTTTTAGTTTTAAGGTCAATGACAGTGGATCACTAGGCTGCAATTGATGGCATGCACATTTCTGTACCTTTAATGGGCTTATTGTATTTCCGTTACAACAGTTTGAATTCTCCTCACTGAGTGGTATTGAGGATTGAACCTTTATCAGTAGCCTGGTCAAGGAAAAGATTCTGAAATCAAGCCAGAAGACACATTTAAACCACAACACAAGAACACAAGACCTTGGAGGGTTTTGTGGGATATAATAAGGAATGCTGATTTCCTGGCTTGAAATGTCACTCTTAAACTCCCATCGGCTATTATTACCTGAACAAGATTTGCACAAAGCTGGACCAACCCCTATAATGGCAGGGAGAGGGGTTCATGCATTCCCAATCCTTCCTATGGATGTATAGACAGTTGATGGTTGCTAGGGAGAAAAAGGCTTATTTATTATTATACTGGGAAGTGTAAATGCTTCTGTGAACAAACTCTCAACTATCCTACCAAAAGCCCTAGTGAAACTCACTGGGTCACACACACACAAGAGGACATCAAAGTAGAAATGAGAGAAGAGGGACAAGAGAAGATAATCAGGTGTGTATGACTGTACATGTATGAAAATGTCAAAATTAAACATATTATATGTAATTAACATAACAGTAACTAGGTCTGTTCAATTAAATTTAAATGAAATAAAATGGAAGTCATATAGCAACTTAAATTAAGAGGTAAGAAGAAATTTTCTGGGCAGTGGTGGCCCACCCCTTTAATCCTAGAACTTGAAAGGCAGAAGCAGGCAGATCTCAAAGTTGGAGGATAGCCTGCTCTAAAGAGTGCATTCCAAGACAGCCAAGGCTACACAGAGAAACCCTGTCTAGAAAAAAAAAAGAAAGAAAAGAAAAAATTGGTAGGATTTTGATTGACAAATGCTGACAAGGAAACACTCCCCATAGTGTTTCAGGGGAGAGGGTGTGCAGAAGCCAGGGTCCCAGGCACAACAGTATGTGGGAGTGATGTTACAATTCCAGGACAATGGATGATAGCAACAGGAATTCTCTGAGGAAAACCTTTCTCTAACTCTTGCTACACCCCACCAAACTTATCGAGGCAATAGCATGTTCTCTTTAGTGGAAAAGTAACCCATCACACTGGGACATGTGCTTGGTTTTCCTTAGTATCACATGCTGTTCTTGAATTTTCCATACGAAGTTCCTAGTGCAGTCACCAACTCACCAGAGATCAGTAAGGCCACTTGTGCACAAACAAGTCCCCACTCAACTGGCTTCTCTGCAGCTGCTGGTCAGGCCTCAGTCCCAGCTCTGCTTAACAATGCAGGCCCTGCTTTCTACAACCTCTCCTCAGCCTATTTCTCCTTCCCTTCTCACTCCATGAGTTTTCTTCCATTCCCCTGCTGTTACAACTCCCTACCCAGATATGCCCTTACTTGGAACTTCCTACAGGGAACTCAGAAAACAAAGAAAAGCAACCACCTCCTCTATGAAAAGCATTCTTACTGGCTAAAATCAAAAACACCAATGACAGTTTATGCTGGAGAGGATGTGGAGAAAGAGGAACACTCCTCGACTATTGGTGGGAGTGCAAACTCATACAGCCACTTTGGAAATCAGTATGGCAATTCCTCAGGAAAATGGGAATCAGTCTACCACAAGATCCAGCAAATCCACTCTTAGGCATATACCCAAAAGAAGCACATTCATACAACAAGGACATCTGTTCAACTATGTTCATAGCAACATTATTTGTAATAGCCAGAACCTGGAAACAACCTAGATGTCCTTCAACTAAAGAATGGATAGAGAAAATGTGGTATATTTACACAATGGAGTACTACTCAGAGGGGAAAAAAAAAAAAAAAAACAATGGAATCTTGAAATTTTCGGGCAAATGGATGGAACTAGAAGAAACTATAATGAGTGAGGTAACCCAGACCCAGAAAGACAAACATGGTATGTACTCACTCATAAGTGCATATTAGACAGGCAGAGAGCAAATGATAACCAGCCTACAATTCACAACCCCAGAGAAGCTAGGAAACAAGGAGGACCCTAAGAGAGACATAAATGACACCTGAAGAAGGGGAAAGAAACAAGATCTCCTGAGCAAATTTCGAGCACAGGGTGGGAGGGGGAGCGGGAAAGAGGTAGAATGGAAGAGAAGGATGGAGGAGAACATGAGGGATCAGGAACATTGAGTCAGGAGAAGAATAAAGAAAGAGAGTTAGACAAGAGATACCTGAATAGAGGGAACAATTATAGGTTTAAAGAGAAATCTGGCAGGAGGGAAATGTCCAGGGATCCACAAAGATGATCCCAACTAGGAATCTAAGCAATAGTGGAGAGGCTACCTCAAATGCCCTTCCTCTATAATGAGATTGATGACTACCTTAAGTATCATCCTAGAGCCTTTACCAGTAACTGATGGAAGCAGAAGCAGAGACTTACAGACAAACACTGAGCTGAACTCCTGGAATCCAGTTGTAGAGAGGTAGTAGTGATGAGCAAAAGGGTCAAGACCATGACAGAGTAAACCGCAGAAACAGCTGACCTGAGCAAGTAGGAGCACACAGACAACAGTCTGACAGCTGGGGAACCAGGATAGGTCTGAACCAGACCCCCTGAACATGTGTGTCAGTTGGGAGACCAGAGCAGTCTATAGGACCTCTGGCAGTGGAACCAGTATTTATCCCTAGTGCATTGACTTTGGGAGCCCATTCCCTGTGGAGGGATACTCTCTCAGCCTAGATACATGGGGGAGCACCTAGGCCCTGCCCCAAATGATGTGATAGACTTTGATGATACCCCATGGGAGGCCTCACCCTCCCTGGGGATTGGATGGGGGTGCTGGTGGGGGACATGGGAGGACAGGAGGGAGAGGAAACTCAGATGGATATGAAAAATAAGATTGTTTTTAAACAAAAAAGCAGAAAAGAAATTCTTCCTCTTTGCAAGATGGCTAACAGGGACCTTGGTACCTTC